GCGTTTCGCTGGCATCGTCAGTGAGTATCGCCATTCATAGCACCACACAACAACTCGTCAGAGACACTCCAACATCAATATATTGAATGATTCTTCGAAACCCACTATTTATGCTATTATTGTTATCTCTTCGTTCCTAAGGCATAATTATTTGCTAATGTGGGGACGATATTGCAAAAAGCTAGATAGTAAGACTAAAATAATTAGAAAAAGCTAACTAGGCGTGGGAATATTATTTAAAAAATGCCACTTTATAGATTTAGAGAATAATAAGTAGTAAAATAAGTCTCGAAAATAAGGCATTGGGACGTCATTGTTAATTCGGATTATTGTATACACGTTTTACTCAATCGCGCCATTTACTTTTTCCTTTATATGATTTACTGGTAGTACCTAAACCACTCATAATTGAAAAATAAGTAATGAAATTGATTAATATATAAAATATAGCTATGCTTAATCTACAATCCCACCACAGAATGTGTCCTAGTCTTCTTTGAATTCCCCATTTGCCTTGACACAAAAGGGAAGTCGTGTCATTTTGGCGTAATAATTAACATGTAGGGATTGTGCGCTGCAGTGCCATGGTTCGAGTTTCGCTGGGGGTCCTTGTGAGACCTAGGCGAGGTCGAAACTGAAGTTGATCTTCGACAAAAACAACTTTTGGGAATCAAGGCTATATAAACTTCAATCGAAGCGTAGAGTCTACTCATATCAATATGGGAAAATGCAACTACCTGTCCTTCACCATCTTAAACGAAATAGTGAACACATCACAGTAAACTAGCTTACGAAATATTTGGTAGCACTTACTCGTGATTGTCTTTGAAATCCTCTTAGTTCGCGCCTCAAAGCATTAAAACTACCTTCCCTTTCTGCCGCTACGCATTTGTGGTCCAAAAAAGTTCATAATGTGACTAACCTGACCAATAGTTAGTGCGGGCTGATAATTGAAGCATAAAGAGACCTTATTTGTGGGCAGAATACACCAATTAATCTTAGTTTGAACCAACTTGTCTAATTGATTTATATCTTACACCTTATATATTACAGTTCGTGCAGTTATTAATTAATTTTATTCGTATTCAAGTGTTTATATGCATGCACATTATAAATACATATATGCATGTATATGAAGCCGGAGAGCAAGCACTGTAATATAATTTATGTTAACATACCTTTTATTTAGTTTAAAGAAACGATTGAAGAGAATTCGTAAGTTGGTTTCACCAAAGGCTAAAGGGTAGCTCTGATGCTATAAACGTACATTTTTACGAACCCCTATAATAGCTTACCTAGACGCAATAGAAGACAGAACATAAATTATATTATAATTTTCGCCCTTGAATCTCATACATATACATATATATGAGTGTATGCATTAAATATGCATACATGTAATAACTTGCATATGAATAAAATCAGTTAATAACTGCAAAAACAGTAATACATATGAATAAGATATACATCCTACCGGCAAATCGATTCAAAAATGTTTTCTGAATTCATCCCCTCACAAAGTTAAGGAGATGTTTAGCTAAGCACATGGCTCCGCCCTTAGATTCCCACCAGTGTGACATACCCGACGTTCTCGCAGACAAAACTGTAGGCAGTCATTCGGAGAAGCTGAAACTTAAGTCAGGTTTTAGAATGGCATTCTTTTAAATGATAATTTTAATGGCCCATTAGACTGAAAATTTTATTTTAATTACCCTTGCAGCGTTTGCCATCCGCAAGGGCAACGTTCGAGACTAGCTAGGAAAGTTTACTAATGGAAGTATTTCCTAATGTCCATTTGGGTGTGTAAATTTGCCCTTGAATTGCATCTAATCCATAAGACTTGATCGGCACACGTTTTTGCTTGTAATGCATTGTCACTTCGGAATTGTAAAGCCCTCTAGTAAGAAATTATTCTGTAAGCTTCCGGTATAAAAATTAAGAAATGCTACAGAATATGCGGAAAATAGGACATATTAGGACTAAAATTTGCGAAGTAATTACATTTAATATCCACTTAATTTACATTTTACTTTTAATTACATTTAGCCCAAATTGGTTGAGCAAGAATCGATACCTATAGTGCGCGTGAAGAATCGATAACCAGAGCGTGAAAATTTACTATAAGGCAATCGAAATCATATAAAATTACCTCACTAAGAAATTCTACGATAATAATTTTCGAAGAATCAATTGCGCCAGATAGTAGCTATACATTGGGGAAAGTAAACACGATTAAAAATTCACATAATTCAAAATAATTTCGTTTTATCAGAGATTTTGTGAAATACACCAGGATTACAGACATGGAAAAGAAGGTAGCAAGACAATGTCGAATCAGCATCCCAGTGCTATTGCATTTATACAAACCACAAAATCATCCAATAGGTAGCCTTTTCAACAACACTCTCGAATATAAAAGTGAGAAAAGAAGCTAGCGTAGGGGTAGAAGACAAGGAGAAGTGTAAGGCCTAGGTGATATGAAGTGCCCGAATGAAAGAGTATGAAGTATAATAAAATAAAGTAAACCAAGATATAGAAAGGAATAATCCAGAAAGCTAAATGTCAGAATGAAAAAGAATAAGCTGAGGTAACGATTAAGGGCAAAATAGTAGATGAAGATTAAAATTTATCGACTTGGAAGTATATGTGGAGTTGCTATGGTTCCTGAAAGTGAAGGCGGCGGTGGAGGCGGTGGAGGCGGTGGCGGTAATTTATTTGATGCTAATCGAGGCAAGACACCCTGTGGCACAGCTGATGAGGCTCCTACCTTTGGCAGCTGATGGCTAGGACTGAGAAAAGCATTAGGAGCTACGTTGGAAGTAGAATTAGGCGAGCCATATAGTAAGCCAGGAGGGGCCACCACACCGGGTGAGGCTAGAAACCAGGCGGGCACTGGCATAGCCCCAGATTGGACAGCCTGGTCATAGAGCATTGCAAAGTACAATATGATAGTTTTATAAAGTATATATACTAACATATAAACATATATGGATATACAATAAAAATAGGGGGGATAATCATAGACGTGGATGAATCGGTATATAGTGGAGATATATAAAAACACGACCAGAGATAAATTCCTTTAGATCGTATATTTGAAGATCAAGATGGTGGTTTAGTCGTGGTCTCCTTTAGCTTTATAGTGATAGTTCGACCTTGTTTTTGCAACTTGGTCGGAGCGTTAGAAACAATGAGGAAAGTACCTAGTCCCGTATTCTCTGTCATAGTATTCGTAATTTCCAGCATTGGGCTGGGCACACTTCCAAACGTTTCACCGGCCTCGTCAGTGATAGGCGCCATCGCAAGAACAGAGTTATAACTTATTAGTGACAAGTGAGGATGATCCCCTTAACCAATTTTCTTTATGACGGCCCTGACATCATTCCTTGTCCCTATTTTTACTTCTACCTTCTAGTGCACATCTCTTTATCTCAACCCCTCTTCATATGTCCTATCTACCTATTCACATAATTCTAAGGACGGGCCATATAAGGTGGGGTTGAGAAGACAGAAAGTAAATTAGGAGCCCAGCAAGCGGTGCCTAGTATCGGTGGTTGAGAAGAATGCTCTTCACTAAACCCATTTGTAGTGGCCCACTCTTAGGTGACATGAAAGGAAACGAGAGCACGGAATTCTGTGAATAAGTGGATGGGCAAAATGAAGTGGGGGTATAAAGAGCAAGATGGTGTGGCCTTTTGTGTGGTCGCAGTCTTCTTTCGTTGTATAGAAGTTGTTTTACCTTGTTTTCGCAACTTGGTCATATTGGTA